TTTTATATCTCAGAAATTATAAGAGTCCTCTATTTAATTATTAAGGCAAAGTTACTCAGGAATGAACTTCTTATAACATATATCAAAGTCAAGATAATTCAAACTGTGTAAGTTCTATTAAAAATTTAACGGAAGATTTATTATATTTAATAATAAACACATATTTTCCCATCAACTGATATTATACGTTCTTATTAGAAAATCATTAATTTTCAGATAATTGGGGTAAAAGCATACAATACTTTACTTTTTCTAGCAGAGATATTATTGCTTGTTTTGAAAATTATATACTACCTTTGCGAAAATGTATACAGATTAATCGCCCCACCAAAGAAGAAAGACGTAGCTGGTGAAATTGTTTTGGTACGTAAGCAATTTCTAATCTATAAATATTGTTATGTAAAAAGAATATAGTTATAAATTTAAATATTTAAAGAGATAAATTATTTTTATTGCGTGAGAAATATTAAAAATTATACCGTTATATGTTATAAAATTTTATGTGTGTGTGTGTGTGTGTGTGTGTGTGTGTGTGTGTTAAAATTAATTAAAATACTAAATTTAAAAGGTTAAAATTATAAAATGTAAAATTTAAGTGTAAATTATTTTGTTTCATTAAAATTAATTTATCCTATATAGATTCTTATGTGTATAGATATCATAAAATAGAGAGAGAAATACACACAAAACTTATGACACTAATATTTTTATATTTAAGTTTACGCACAAAGACGAAATTATGAAAATAAAATTATACCCTCATATTGACTGTTTGTTTCTAAGATATTAAGGTATCACACCAATAAAAATTTAATACATTTAATGTATTTTCAAATATATAATAATAAGCCGCAGAACAATTCATTGCAAATATACTAATAATACTGAAAACTGTTGTTTTACAATTATTACTTTTCTGTGTATAATAGAAATATTTTTTATTTTATTATTTCTGTTTATTGTAAATATTTTTTATTTTAGACATTTACCTAATGCAGCAATAAAATGCACGAGAGATTTCATCAAATATGGTGTCTATCCAGATGATTAAAAAGTGATACATTAGAAATTCATAAATTGCCTGTAAAATTTTACAATATATGTATATTGATACGTTTAATATGGAGCGAAAAAATTTAGCTCTTTCCATGTGTTTTGTCCGTAGAGATGAATGACTGTTAATAAAAATCGGAGGTACTTGAAATTCGTTTTTTTTTTTAGATTTTTGCGGACATAGAAATTTTTGTCCATACAAATAAATATATTTGTTTTTAAATAAATTTATTTATGATCAAATCTTTTTAAATTGAAAGGAATTAGGCTCCCAAGAATAACAATCTTTTTAATAACGACATTCGTGAAATATTGCATATTCAAGCTGTTCAGTTTTTAGAATATATATGAATTAACAGTTAAGCACGCATTTTACAGTTAAAGACTTTGGTTTCAACAAATTCACGAGCGTGCAGACGCGTCACTCACGGCGTCATCTAATCGTGACAAATAACGCACAAGTCCACGCCAGACTGTCGTGAATCAGACACGCCCCCAATCGGCTTCGATTACAGCGGAGTAGCTTTCAGTTATCGAAAATTCCAACTGTGTTCAACTTCTCTTTCCCGGGATTACCTACGGGGCGTTTAACGGTCTTCAGCTGTAAATCATTGATGGCTAATGCCTTAAATTTCGCTAAGTGAAAATTAATCAGAGAGTGGCCGGTTGCAGAGCCACTAATTGTATCTCCGTTCGATCGACCGGCTGTTCGAGAGACGTTCGCTATATAACATGCTCGTTCCCTCCGCGCCGCGTCGCAAAATCTGCGCTGCGCTGTGCAGCGTTATCTTGATATCGGGATGCTCGGCCGTCTTCGAGAAGCACTGGCTGCCGGATCTGGAGTGGCGAACCGCGAGCAACTGGGCGGACGGCCGTGTCCCGGAGATCGACGGCCGTGTGATCTTCCCTCAGCAGACCCGGCACGCGGTGGGCATCGCCGGAACGGACAATCTCAGGCTATCCGAGATCGACTTGCCGAGGCAGGGACTGCTGGTCCTGCCGAGAAACGGCGAACTGCAGGTAAGGTCCAGGCTGTATAAGCTTGAGAAAATGTATGCAGACGCGGGTGGATGGAATAATCGCGAGGTGAACGGGGAATATGCGGCACGATACGTTCGATCGCTCTTTTTCCCCTTTTGAGTTTATAATATATTCGCGGAAAACGTCGCTTATTTACAAAATGACGCAACTGCTTTGGTATATTCTCGATAATTACGACATTAATGTTTTAATATTGACGCGTCGATTGATTGGAAAATCTAGCTTGTCAGAATATTTATTAGCGATAAACATCATAAAATGCTTGAAATTCATTGCAACTCGAACGGCACGTATTAAAATTTAAAATTTAACGATAATTTTTCGTATCCCTGTATTTTCTGCATTTACTTTATAGTAATAATGTAATAACAAACTTTTAATTCGGTAAAATAAGCTTTAACCTTAACTTATCAACTATCTTGCTATAGTAAAGGATCGAAGTTTATAAAAAAAATCTGTATGTGTATAATACACAAGCTGAGCACATCGCGGACGGACGCGAAAGTTAGTAGATGGTCGAGGCAGGGTGGCGTTTTCTGGGCCGATCCCGCGAATTGGAACGGCAGCTCGATAGCGGCGCCGCATCTCGAGCGTGTTCCCTGCCGCCAGGACAACGTCGTCCTGCCGAGCGAGAATCGCACCCTGAGTATCCTCTTACCGGTGAGCGTGGTGGAGGTGAGGTCGATTCGATTGTCGAACGAGCGGCAGCCGTTCACCAGATGGGAATGGCGAAGCTTCCAAGATCGTAGAGAATTCACCAGGGGCAGATTCACCGTAAAGTAAGGACCGTATTACGGATAATGTTTTGCTGCGCTTCCGCAAATTGAAATTCCATGTGATGAAACGTAATTTTTTTTGAAAAAAATTGTGGTCTCCTTTTCTAGGTACAGCGATCTGTACCTGGCTATGCACGATTGCACGAAATGCTTCTGCCAGGGAGACTCTTTGAGCGATTATCTCGAAGAGGTCTGTGCCATTCAGAGGCCAAGATGCGGATTTACGGGCTGCGAATATCCTCTTACGGTGAGACATTCTATTAAAAAAACTTTAATAGAAGGGCTTGTATATATAAAGAGCTAATCCACAACGCAGTCGAATATGTGATATCGATAGAAAATTATTACTATGGTATTTTCTTATCGCTTTAAAGATTTTTTTGTTTATATATGCAGGGTGTACCGAAATTTGCGAATTAAAATATTATAGCAAGAAAGTCTTTGAAAAATAAGTAAAAAAGTTATTTGTAAATTTTTAACTTAAGCAGTAGTTTTGAGATATAAGGGTTTAAATTTAGCCAATTATAGATTAGTACTCTCGCATGAAGTGTGCAATCACTAAATATCGACGCACACATGGACATGTTTCCGTTTAATCGTAATATAAGTTAAATTTAATCTCTTATATCTCAAAACTGCTTAAATTAAAAATTTGCAAATAACTTTTTTGTTTAATTTTTCAAAGACTTTCTTGTTATAATATTTTAATTCGCGAAATTCGGGACACATGTATATATATGTATGTATATATATGTATATATATATATATATATATATATATAATTGATTGGATTTTGCTGTAACAGTGTAGGCCATTTTTATAAAAACAAAAAAATCTTTAATGCAATAAGAAAATACCATAATAATAATTATTTTCTATCAATATATATATATGTATACAATCTCGATAACTTGCACCTCTACAACTCGAAAATATAAGACGAAAATTTTGTTCATTCCCTTCCGCTCCACTGTGAAAAACCTCTATAAATCGAAATAAAACTTACCTTAACTCGAATTATTTTTCATATATTTAAATGTATTATTTTATCTCTGCAACTCGAATTTAAAGTAGGCAGACCTCTACAATAAGAAAAAAATTGATTGTACGAAATTTATATAGTTGTTTGATCTAATGGTTGATTCAACAATTCCTTAGTTGCACAAAGAAAGGTATAGTTCATTCATGTCATCCATTAAAAAATTTTAATTAAGAATTAATTAAACCAACTCAATTAAATTATTTTATTCGAAATACCAGTAGTATTTATTTGTGTTTGCATGCTATTTAGTTATCCAAGTAATATATTTGTTCAAATTCCAAGTATCAAACTGACTAAACGATGCTGATGGGGATAATAAATAGTGTGTATTTTTAATCGAACGGTTGAGTTAAATATGTAATAAATTTTTGTTGAAACAAAATAGTTTAGTTAAAAAATAGGATTTTGTTTAGAATTATAAGTAACAAATTATTTTGTGTCATCGTAGAGTAACGTTTAGTTGAACATATCGGACAAAATATTTTGGTAAGATGAAACAAATTTTGCGTTTTTCAACAAATTTTTTTTCTCAATGTACAAGTCGAAGTTCACCTCTATAAGTCGAACTTCTATTGTCGCTGTCTCTATAATTCGAAGTTGCACCTATGTACGTACATACGTGCAACCATGAGTAATAGGCTGATATTTTGTTTTATGATTACATTTTTCATACATGTATGCAATAAATAATTCACTGTCAAATATTGATTTTTTTTTCCTTCGAAAGCCACTATAATCAGAAAATTATAAACTCTCGTATATCACAGTCTCCGTAAGTCGAATTTTCATATTTTAACCATCTTTTACTCGACTTTTGATAAGTCGAAAACTCTATAACGAAGGGTTCTTCTCTTCCCTTGAGATTCGAGTTGTCGAGGTTCGACTGTATATATGTCCCTCCTTCGCATTATTACCTAATTGGCACGATTGCTTTTGCATTTCAGGTGGAAGGTCACTGTTGTCCGTACTGCGGTGGACGCGTTTTCATATTATCGCAGCAGATCTCCTTAGCGACAGTACAAAGCGTGGCGGACGAAGCTTTAGAGGGATACACGGAGAAGGTTGCCTGGCATACTAGACGCACTTGGGACGGTGGCGTCGAGGTTCTTGTGAAGGAAAAGGGGGACTATTCCGGGGTCACGATAGAGGAAGCGGTGGAGAACCTGCGGGAAGTGTTGCGAAGTCAGTGCATTAAAGTTATTTAGTTCCTTTAAACTTCTGATAAATTTTTAAACACACATAGATTATTATAGACCGAGAAAATTGATTCGCTTGTGTGTCTCAGACGAGAGTTAGACGATTGCAATTTTACAATAATTTAAAAAGCAATTTTTTAGCGCGTAAGTAATCTCTTGTAGTTTACAAGCGTACCAGGCGAAACGGAGATATGGAAAAACGATGAAATCCATTCATTTGTCTCGTTCTCATTGTTCGCGATACCGATATCGATTGGTATTGATACCAACAAATGTCGACACTCGGTTTTTAATCCAATTTTATAATTGGGACGCACTGGTTATTGTCAAGCAATATCCCGCTTTTATTCATTCAGTTTATTGAAATATAATGTATTTGTGTTAGAACATGTAGTTATGCATCTATTTAATATACATGTGTATGTATATACATTATATGTATATCTTTGATTAAACTTAAAGCAAATCAAATAATGCTAAATAAAATCAGAAAATATTATTTATATATTTATATGATGTTATTTATATTTTCTAAAACGCATTTGACATTTAATCAAAATATATTTAAATTTATATCAAGTGCAATTCAGAAAATATAAAGAAGTTTATTATAACTATATAAATATTCTTTGATTTTATTTGGTTGCTTTAATTTAAAGATAATTTTGGAAACAGATAAGGGAATAACGTAATTAACTGCTAAGATAACTCTTTACGTTTGCATGGAACTAATTAACCTTTGGCTTAATGGCTCATGGAGACTGATGAGTCATTCGAGATCCAATCAATATTTGTTAATTTTCGAAGATTACTCATATGTGTAGGTTGTCAACCCTTTATAGGTTGCAAGCTATGTTTGACGTCAGTCTGTGACGTCAAAATATAAACATATGACGTCGAAGATTCATTTTATTACCAAAGTAATAACAGATAACGTCAGCTTGCCATCATGAGATCGCAAAATTATAAAAAATTAAAAGCTTGAAAACAACTGCTTTTTTATTGCTATTTTTGTATAAGCATATTTAGATTATTATATAGACGAAAAGAACACAATTCCGTTGAAAGGTATGAAAATTTTTGCTGAATACAAATCCGAAAATTAATTCTCGTTAAATTATTAAAAAATTTTGTTGGAATATTAAAAATGATATAAGCATTGCCATAAAACGTTTTGATATTCTAGCAATTATTTTGGCTTTCCAACAAAATCATTTTGATTATTGAACAAAAGTTATTTTCAAATCTGGATTCAGCAAAATCGTTCTTTCCGTGATACAGTATCGCAACATCTTTTTGATTATTCATTAGAGTGCAGTTCAATGACCCAGTCGCAGTCTTCCGAAGTTAATAAAACTAATTGACACAAGACTCTCCTTCGGAATGCTATTTCTACACGGAAAGAATAATTTTGCTGAATCTAGATCTGAAAATAATTTTTGTTCAATAATCAAAATAATTTTGTGCGAAAGTCAAAATGATGGAATATCAAAACGTTTTATAGCAATGCTTATCAGTTTTAACATTCCAACAAATTATTTTGATAATTCAACAAAAAATTATTTTCAGATCTGTTTTCAGCAAAATTTTTAGACCTTTCAACAAAATCGTTCTTTCCGTGTATACATATATTTTTCCAGGGACAGGAATCGACGTGACGAACGCGGAAACGGCAGGTGCAGCGATGAAGGATTCTCGACTGGCCGTTACGCTCGGGCCGCTCTTGGGGACGCCCCTCGTCGTGATCGCTCTTCTTCTGCTGGCCTTTCTGTACTTCGGTTATTCCTTAGGACAGTAAGTATCATTGCCGTGCCGTTTCCGTTTTCATCTTTGCGTGCCGCGCCGCGGCGCCGCCATGCGCTCCGCATGCCTACACGGAAAGAACAATTTTGCTGAATCCAGATCTGAAAATAATTTTTGTTCAAAAATCAAAATAATTTTGTGCAAAAGCCAAAGTGATCGCTAGAATATCAAAATGTTTTATAGCAATGCTTATCAGTTTTAACATTTCAACAAATTATTTTGATGATTTAACAAAAAATTATTTTCAGATCTGTTTTTAGCAAAATTTTTAGACCTTTCAACAAAATCGTTCTTTCCGTATATATATACGAAAAGCCGTCGCGAAAAGTATATTGATCCAGAGATTGCAAGCTGTCGCGCTCGCATTATACTAAACCTAATATCAATACGTTTATAACACGCCGGTTATAAATGTATGTGTCGCCATACGGCGACGTTCGGCGCTCGGCGTGCGAATACACGAAAAGCCGCGCGCCGGCATTTCGTATTCGAGATTTGCATGCCTCTCCCGGCACCGTCGCGCGGTCGCGAATGAAACGGCTGCGTCGTGCTCGGCATTCTCAACCTGCCGTCGCAATATGCGAGCCGGCAAGCCGTGTCGACATCCGCGAACTTTAGCAGAATTAAGGAACTGTTTTCCTGCACGAAAGTCGCGAGGAGGTCGACAAGGAGTTTTTAGAAGAGCGAAGTGTGTACTTTCGCGCTTGTCGGACAGAGAGAGAGAGAGAGAGAGAGAGAGAGAAATGTCGGAAGGACATCGGAAGACGGTCTCGCCATCTCATTTATATTACCCCGTTCTACATCAATATTGTTATTAAAATCAGCAAAATTGAAAGAGGAAACTTTTCCCGGACCGCCTGTCCCGGCGGTGTCGCGCACGTTCGTGCGCGGCATAGGTACCTTCGACATTCGTGCAAACACTGTGTACTCGACGGCACGGTCACGGGAATTTAATAATAACGCCGGCCGACGGGAACGTGACAAGAAGATGAATAAGAAAAATAACGTTTCGTATCGCGTAGCGGCCGCGAGTGCGCGGCTGTGCGCTTGTCGAGCGCGGATCGGCGGTGACACGGTATGGTCACGCGGAAAATTTCTGATGAGAGTGAGAGAGGGGAGGGGGGATCTAGTTTCGACCGAAGAGATCCGCAGCCGCGTCTCTCCAGCTCTCGGATCTCTTCGGTCCGGCGAGTCTCTCCCGTCGACAGTTTTTTGCACGCGTCCGTAAAGAGAGTGGGAAAAGCAATTACACGGATTATTAGCCTATATATACAAGTATACTCGCATATATACGTATAAAGGAGAAATATACGCTTACTCATGTCCTCGCTCTATTTCCGGTTATTCGAGCGGCGCTTTATTATAGCGCGATATATGGTCCTTTTCGAGGATGCTCGATAATCTCTCGAGGGTGGGAAAAAATTTTCTCGGACAATTCATCGGTATAATTTTTCACGGACGAAAGTACATATACATGATTAGATGAATGTATCGTTATTCCGCCGTTTTCGTGTCGGTTTTATGTCGCTTATATGCAAATGCAAATTGACTGAGGATGATATCGAACATGATAACGAATTTTTTATCACGTCCGTTCTTTGCGACACTCTGTACGTAAAATCTCGGGCAATGGGGGGTAATTGGTTTAATTTCGGCGAATCTTAAAACTGGGCTCGCGCGATGCAGGCACGATGCTTCAAGGTCCGGTTCCGCGAATGTAAGATTAACTTTTAATCTCGATTTAACTTACTGTTTATCTCTTTCTAATTCTTATATATAAGATTAGAAAAAAATGAAGCGAGTTAAACACTTCGGTGTTAAATCGAGTTAATCGCGAATTGTGAAACTGCAGGCCTAAGAGAAGAACGATGGACGATCGAGACTGCAAAATTGCCTGCGACTCCGTCAGGCCGGTCGCAAATTTGTAGCCGACAAAACTCCGTCACGGCTATCAATCCGTGGGGAAATGGAAAATGTCGAACTCGTCGAGAGTCTCATTTCCCTGCAGGTACACGGAAAGAACAATTTTGCTGAATCCAGATCTGAAAATAATTTTTGTTCAATAATCAAACTAATTTTGTGCGAGAGTCAAAATTAATTGCTAGAATATCAAAACGTTTTATAGTAATGCTTATCAATTTTAACATTCCAACAAATTATTTTGATAATTAACAACAAATTATTTTCAGATCTGTATGTAGCCAAATTTTTAGACCTTTCAACAAAATTGTTTCTTCCGTGTATTCATCCGATACGACGAAGGGGCGAACAATAGCGAGCGAGAGAGAGAGAGAGAGAGAGAGAGAGAGAGAGAGAGAGAAGAGAGAGAGAGAGAGAGAGAAGGGCGGGAGGGAGGGAGGGTGAGTTGCTTCACGAAAAGAACGATTTTGTTGAAAGGTCTAAAAATTTTGCTAAAAACAGATCTGAAAATAATTTTTTGTTGAATTATCAAAATAATTTGTTCAAATGTTAAAACAGATAAGTTAAAACTGCTATAAAACGTTTTGATATTTTAGCAATCATTTTGACTTTTGCACAAAATTATTTTGATTATTAAACAAAAATTATTTTCAGATCTGGATTCGACAAAATTGTTCTTTCCATGTTGAGACTTGTAGTTTGTGCTTCGGTCTTAATCTTAACATCATAAAATTCAACCAGTGAGAATACAGATTTTGGCTAGGACTGCAGCTCTATTATTAGCAGCTGACATCTAAGGATTTTAGGATTAGAACCAAAGCATAAACCAGGCCTGAGGAAAGGAATGCAGTTGCGACGAGGAGTGCAGTGCTAAAGTTTAGCAACCAGCGAACTCACTTGCGCTCTCCCATTTTATGGTTTTACCCGGCGCTAATTTCTTCCATTGCCGTTCCGCGACTCGCTTCGAATCGAAATGTCTCGCGCGCCTCTCCCCTTCGTCATCTAGCATTTAATTAGTTCGGCTCCCTCGGCGGACCGACCGGTCGGTTGATTATTGCTCTCAGCGGACATCAGGCCGAATGGAATTAGCCGCCGTGTAATTTTCTCGGTTCGTCGAATATGTCCTGTTTTGGGGCCGAAATCTTTCAGATCGTGGCACTCTCACTCCGCTTGCGCCACAATAATACGGTTTTCATCTCTATACAAAATCTCTCTCTCTCTCTCTTTCTTTCTGAAACATGTGTATATAACATTACGATTAATGACTTAGTTTCGCCGTTTAGATACTGATTCATTTTTACAATCTTCCTTCTGATCTGCTTCAAAATATTTTTTTGTTCCCTATTAAGGGGGTTCCAGCGTTTGATGAAATATAATACAAGTCTATAATACACACATATGAAAGTTAATTATAGTCATAATATCCAGAAAAATTTTAATTGATTTTTACCGTACCGTTTTGAAGATATTTAATTCGAAATGTATAACATTTTACATTTTAAGTATATTAACCTTATTTCGTAGGTATTTTCTGTTAATTTAAAACATTTGTGCATATAAGACAGAAATTTAAAAATTGTTATACTTACAAAGTAAAAAGTAAAAATACTTACAAAGTAAACATTTAAGTTCGTTTTGGTAAAGTTTCATCTGAATTGATCGTCTATGTAGTTTGAAAGAAATTTATATTTGTTGATAACGAAAAACAAAAATATTTGTTAAATAGACATGTTGTCAAATTTAACACAAACTATAAAACGATATATATTTAATGCATAAGTAAAAATACGACAAATTTATGATAAATTTATGATAATAATAATATTTTATTTATTATTTTTTAAGATATGATAGTAAATAAATGTCACATTCATATCTCAATTCCTGCTATTGGTACTTATAGGTCAAATGAATCTTATAACTTTTGTCAATTTAAAAATATTTACTAACCTATAAAATTAATCATGATTATGTATAATGCCATTAGTGAAATAGATATATTGTTGATAACGTTTTAATATTATTATTTTAATTATTTTACATAATTTTAAAAATAAACTGTTTATTGACTATAGAGAGTAGCGCTGGAACCTCCTTAATGCTTAAATTTTTGCCGCGTCTACAATGAGACTTGAGACTTAAGATTTAAGAAAATTGATCAATTATAGTCGATTATTCATCTCACGTGAGAAGAATAATCGATTGTGATTGGTCAATTTTCTTAAACCTTAAGTCTTAAAATCTCATTGTGGACGCCGCTTTAAGTATTATACAAGAAATAGTTTGCGCGGCATATTGGGCATTTATCGATCCCCCTGAGGCGGAATGTAATTTTTGCAGCGTTCTCACGGGATGTATGGAAGCCGTCTCGTCCGTCCGAGATGGAATTCGTACGGACAAGCAGAAGCACGGTTTCGCCCGTTTCGAGAATGTACCGGAGGGCAACGTTCAGATAGCCGATGTTCAGATTCCCGGAACGAACGGCCGGCGAGAGATCGACGATGACGACATCAAGGGGATGAAACAGGTCGCGGGTGGCAGATTCGAAAATCCTCTATACAGGTCCAAAAGGGACAAGGCGGAGGGACATGAGATTCTCGACGTAGACGCGCCTCTTAGCCTCGCTACTCTAAAGGACAGGATAGAAGATCAGCTGGAAAGTGAGGAGACCGAGGAATAAGAGTAGTAAGAGAAACAAGATTCTACGTTGTCGTTATTCAATTTCACGTTGTATCGATTAATAATCGCGGAAATGCTTCGTTATGGAATAATATAAATTATAAATGTATTTTTGAGACTATCTTTAAACGTTAAACGGTAACGTTTTCACCAAGGATCGGTAAAATAACTGATACAACTTATTTAAAATAACAAATATAAAATAGATTCCAGAAACTTATTTAAAATAAAATATCGCAGGGGCCAATAGAAAACTGATACGACTTATTAAAAATTGAAAAATATAAAATAGATTCCAAAAACATATTTAAAAAATATTAAATAAAAATAGATTAGAAGAAATTATTTAGAATAATAAATACTAAATAATTCTTTTACTTTTTTTTATTAAAAATACATTTTAAATGTTTTTTTTTTTAAATACGACCAATCCTTGATAAGCAGAAATCGGTAAAGTAACTGATGTAACCTATTTAAAATAGCAAATATAAAATAGATTCCAGAAACACGACTTATTTAAAATGAAAAATATAAAATAGATTCCAAAAACATATTTAAAATATTAAATATAAAATAGATCAGAAAAAGCTATTTAACATAATAAATACTAAATAACTCTTTTACTTTTTGTTATTTAAAATACATATTTTAAATACGACCGACCCCTGGTTTTCAGGGTTGCCACAAATTCTTCATTCTAAAATTCCATGAGTTTTTCTTGACTTCCAGACAAAATTTCATGATTTTCCCTGACTTTTAATATTTAAAATTTTCTTTTGTTTTTGTTTGATTTGAAAACTATTTGGAAACCGTTAAATATTTTGTTAAGAGATCAATTTGACGAATAGCAATGTAAATTACCATTACTGTTGTTGACACTTAATTGTTTGCACGTAATTGTTAAGTTGCTAATATTTCTTTATCTTTTTCTTTTATATATACGCACAATTCTTTTCCTCTGCTTACAATACAAAAAACATGTAAATATAGATTCTTTTTGATAAAAACTATAAATCCTGTTTATCGGAATCTCCGACTTGCTATTATACAAAGATTTACAAACTTGAAAAAAGAAAACAAATTACAAAAATATGCGAAGTCAATTTTAATTTTATTGATTTGTTCACAGGTCATACAAGAAACTTACAAGTTAAAAAAAAACAATTTTAAATAAATTTAAAATTCCAACAAATAGTAGACAAGTTGGAAATTCTAATGCTCTTAGTGAAGCGTTTAAACCTCTATTAAAAAGAGAATTTACATTAGCTAACAAAACTGTATCATATAAGCACGTAATATACATGCATATTCAACTTTTTTTAATCTAAGAATTTTTATTTTTCAGAAAATTTTGTAAAATTCCCTGACTTTTCCCTAATCTCCCTGATCTCCAGTTTTGTGGCAATCCTGTGTTTTGTAAAGCGATAAATCTCTTTGCGTCTATAAAATCGAAAGGAAGAAAATAAAAGTGTTCATTTCTATCTAAAGAAAAAATAATTTTGATTGTATGGTGCGTAATGGAAATATACGGAAAATTATAATACAATATAAAGCGTACGATGTTGGTTCACAAATATTTATTTTTTATTGTCGGACAACATCCATTCGAAGTTGCAGCGCCGCGTGTTACATTGACAACGTGGCATCGCGGCGCTTTAATATAGACACGTTACACGCACACGTAAATTCGACATGCGTCGAATAAAATATATATATTTATATTTGTGTTATCTTTGTTAATATATATTTATTTATATATAATATAAGGACTCTCTCTCTCTCTCTCTCTCTCTCTCTCTCTCTCTTTCTTTTTGGATAAATGTGCCAATCACATAATGATATACAGATGACGCTCGCATCGCGTATGAAAAACAAATGATACAACGTGACAACGAGAATGGTAATAGTGATAAAGTATATCCTAACTGTAGATAACCATGCGGCTTCCTTCATTGTCAAACGTTTCTGTAATTTGTCATAAAATATACTCATCTATACATAATAATGTTAATATATATGTATATAATTATCTCTCTATAAAGCTTTCTCATAGAATATATTAAACTCTTTGCTTTCGATAAAAATCGTTACTCTGCTGCTTTGTACAGACACGTACGTAATTATTTCTTTATCATGCGCGCATATGCATACGGCAATTAAAAACTGCGCGCGCGCGCGCGTGTTTTGTACGTGTAGAATGACAAAGGAATGAAAATTCTTAGCCGAACAGCGCTTGTAGAGTTTCGGCGCAATATAATATATCGGAAAATCCCTTCACACTCACATTTACGTTAATCGATTACTATATCATTCGTTATACGTTTATTGACTTTCTTCATTGACGTTTTTCCAACAACATATATTCAATAGGTCTCTCTTCATTGATTCTCTTTCTAAAAACTCTAAAACTAATTCATTTAAAGTCATCTCGAAATTCAATCTTCTCGTTTCGTAAATGTTACGCGCGCATCTCTGTGTATACAGCATGGCTCACAGAAAAAAAGAGGAATCAGCAATGAGGGTGGCTTTCCTCGGTTGAATTTGAAATCGACTTTAATTTACCGTAGCTCTTACTTTATAATAATTTACTACTATTTATTTATTTTCGTTAATTAAATATAATGCATATAATATACAGGGTGTCCAGAAATTCGCAAATCAAAATATCACAGCAAGAAAGTCTTCAAAAAATTAAGTAAAAAAAGTTATTTGTAAATTTTTATTTTAAGCAATATAGTTTTTGAGTTTAAATTTAGCCAATTATAAGATTAGTACTCGTGTGAAGTGCGCGACCACTATCGACGCACTCACGGACATGTTTCCGTTTAATCGTAATCTATATTTAGCTAAATTTAAACTCTTACATCTCAAAAACTACTGCTTAAATTAAAAGCTTGCAAATAACTTTTTTACTTAATTTTTCGAAGACTTTCTTGCATATGATATTTTCATTCGCGAATTTCGGGACACCCTGTATATTTTCGTTAATTAAATATATAATGTATATAATATGAATCTCAAGAATAGATAGGCGTGAAGATTCCTTATATGGCCATGCTATATGCACACGTTATTTCTATACAATACAAACGTATTTTACATTGAACTATCAGACTTACACAGTAAAACGATCTAGGCCGATCAAAATGTATATATATTCCGTATTTAAATGATATCGATGCAATGAAGGCCAGAATTTCCGTCTGCAGACATTCATGGGAGGGATGTGTGATTATTTAAGACCCGTCTACACGGAAAGAACGATTTTGTTGAAAGATCTGAAAATAATTTTTGTTAAATCATCAAAATAATTTGTTGGAATGTCAAAACTAATAAGCACTGCTACTAAAACGTTTGGATATTCTAGCAATCATTTTGACTTTCGCACAAAATTATTTTGATTATTAAACAAAAATTATTTTCAGATCTCGATCCAGTAAAATCGTTCTTTCCGTGATACACATAAGTCGCAACACGCAAAACGCAATTCGCAAACGCGGACGCAAGATGACGTTAATTCTCTCTTTCTTTCTTTTTTTTTCCTCTACGTTTTTTTTGCGAATTGCGTTTTGCGACTTATGTAGACCGGGCCTGAATACAAGAATTATCTCCTGGACACGCGATACGAAAACTAAACTCTACCATTTATTTGGCAATTACGCGAAGCGACGGGGAAGGGAGAGGGAGAAGAAGAAGAAAAGGTTTTCTCATCTTGCACGCATTTTGGTCCCTTTCCACGACTTTCATGCGGTAAGTATAAAGTCGAGAGGTCCGTCATTGTCGCGCGTGCGACACAACACGCGTTTACTTACGACTTTTTTTTCTCTACGCTAATCGTAAAACAAAATTGCAAAGAAAACAATGAAAAGTCAGGCCTTTGGCTGATACGCGACACCAATGACATTTAATATATAGTCACGATTTAACGCGGTGAAAGCTTCTTCTTGCACATTACAAATAATACAGAGCTTCTGCACGTTTTGACCGACAAAATTCGATTATACGACTTTCTCGCGCGCGATATCGTAACTATCTAATATATACCGAAGCCGAGAACTCGCTGCTGGAACAATCGACTTCCACATTGGTTTGCAGACGCAAGACAGCGGATCTCGGATACGATCCATCGTGGACGATCAAAAAAATGTTATCTATTAAACTTATATTTTATACAAAGGTTCCTACCGCGCGGACGCGAAATGAATTACTCGTCGTTGCATGCGATCGACAATCTTATTAGAGCCTTACTCCAAAAAAAAAACACCCGTTTTTAGCGACAGCGCCCTAAGAAAAAAAATAGCACGCCGTCCGTCATGCGACGCGATTGTTCCCTCCAAGTCGACCTACATAATTATACAATACTTATTGTATATACAAAAACTGAATATCTTCTCGTAAAACGTAAATACAATAAATTCGTCGATTGCATCGAATATATTTTTACTTTCACGTCACACTTTTCCTACACAATAATAATCGTACTTTCATCCTTTTTTTTCTCTTACCTATAAAATATATCATATGTTATTATACTTTCATTTGTATATATTTATATATACTATATAGGCGAATCCATTGACGAAACTACGTCAAAGTGGATTGCGCACCGACACACGCAATCTGTATAACGCTATTGTGGATCCCAAGAGTATACTTCTTTCGGGTCCCGAAACGATTTAAAACGTCATCACCGTTTTTTTTTTGGAGCACAAATACAGGGAATAATCGAAAGGCCGTTTACACCGGAACTTTCTTTTTGTAACTCCTCGTTGCAGTCGAGTTTGGCAATAGTCGATAATTGCAACACGCAAGTTATCGCGAATGGGAGATCCGAATTTCCCCAAATATTTCTGTTTTATTCAGATTAAAAAAAAAGCTCACGCTAAATGCATAATGCGAAATAAGTTAGCCTGTATATGTCGTCCGGCAATGCAATGCTGGAAGAGATATGGAAACAAATCCGCAAAGGCACTCCCGGCGAGAATATACGCTGATTTAGCGAAAAACATATATCGTGACTTATATACTATTATATTGGCGTAAAATCTTCATCGAAAGAACAGAAGCGATTCGCAGCATTTGGAATGTCTCACGTAAATAAATTTAATCGCTGCAAGATACTTCGTTGCGTCTCGTGTGTATGAGGAAGACATTCTAGGAATGTATAAAGAAATTGCACTAGTCCCTAAAAATATATATCTCTTTTTTAACTCCAATCTGCAACTTAACGATAAACACACTATTTTTCTCTTCATCTCATAACAATTGTAAGAAACTGAAGTTGCTATTATGGAAGAGCAATTTAACGAGGTACAGGTAAATCTATATCAACCGTAAATGTGTGGGGGAGTCTAAAATCTTTCTTAAGACTTTACAATTTTTTTCTATCTCCGTAACAATATTAAATTGTTTCTCGCCATGTTCGTTAATCGCGAACGTCGCGCGCAACGTCCGTCGGATTAAATTATCATTTCTGAGGAGAGCGATTAGCACGTGTTAAGTCTTTTTAAAAATAAAAATTTGACGACGCCAAGGTAAATTCAGGCTACTCTTAGCTAGAAGTACAAATAAATCTATTGTAGCTGCAGCAAGGTCTCGAGACGTTGCAACTCCTTCTTCAGCTCGCGATTCGCGTCCTCCAGATAATTCACCCTGTCTCTGTACGAGGAGTTCTCCTTCTGCAACAGGTTGCACCGCCTCTCCAAATTGTCCATGTACTCCTTCTTCTTTCTTCGCGACTCTTGGGCCGATATCTGCAAGAAGCGCCGCCCGAAATCAGAAATCTCTCACGTCACATTCGATTTATAATTTCGTAACTCGGACGTTTCCAGACAAAACAGCAAATCATCGTAACATCAAAAGGATGTCCAAATAACGTCAAAATGAGTTTTAAAAGTCACTCTTCGATCAGTTATGAGTAGGGTTGGTGATTTGCTTCGAAGGCTTCGACATTCGAACTTCGAAGTTTAAGGTGCCTTCGAAGTTTTGAAGTTTCGAAAAATACATTTGTGCAAATGATAAATTTATTCAGAAAATTTACACTGAAAAAAAATTGATTGTACTAACTAAATTTGTATAGTTGTTGGATGATTCAACAATTCTTTAGTTGCACAAAGAAAGGTATAGTTCATTCATGTCAACCATCACAATTTTTTAATAAAAAATTAACTTAATTAAATCAACTCAATTAAATTATTTTGTTCAAAATACTAGTGGCATTTATTTGTGTTTGTATGATATTTAGTTATCCGAGTAATATATTTGTTCAAACTACAAGTATCAAACTGAGCTAAACGATGCTGATGGGGATAATAAATAGTGTGTATTTTTAATTAAACAGTTGAGTTAAATACGATAAATTTTTGTTGAAACAAAATAGTTTAGTTAAAAAATAGGATTTTGTTTATAATTTTTTTATTTATAATTTTTGTTTAGTTGAACGAATCGGATAAAATATTTTGGTAAGATGAAATAAATTTTTGCGTTTTTCAACAAATTTTTTTTCTCAGTGTACAAATGTTGTAAATAAAAAGAATTAATAAAAATAAAAAGAAAAAAAGAATTAAATAAAAAAAATTTCAAAGTATTATAACCTGAAATATTATAAATTAATAATTAAATTTGATATCATGTGCAAATAAGGATAGATATTGATCAATAAAACAATCCAATTTAAAAAATTAAAATTTTTAATATATATTTCAAAATTTCGAAACTTCAAAGCTTCGAAGGCACCTTAAACTTTGAAAGGTCGAAGTTAACGTCGAAGCTTCGAATATTTGAAGTGAGTAAAAAGTAACAGCCTTACGTTACGAGTCATTTTGACGATATCGTGACCTACTGTTTCTGCATGGGGTTAATTCAACGGCTTGACATGCGAGAGAATTCGAAGTGCCCATCACACTTGCCTTGTTCTTAATTTTCCTCCGTATTTTCTTCAGAGATTTCTCCTCTTGCTTTGTCAGAGGCAGCTTCGTGGGCACGGGATATCCCTCGGCTATCAAGGTCCTCTTCTCCTCGTCCGTCAATGTTAACACTCCCGTGGATCCTTTCTGTAATGTCGATCGCATGTGAGTGCATCACCCTAATATAACGCTAGATCAATAAATGTGACAGCGGTAATGGATCACCCACTCCTCGGCAGAGACGGGAATAAACGGGGACAATGATAAAACGTAAAACACGGCGAAAACTCATCCATAAAAGAAACTTTGAGTTTGTTAATGCAAACCCAGTCACCTTGCTGACTAATGGCATGCGATTACGTATGTTGATAGTGTAAATACAGGGTCGCGCGCGTCGGGGTGAGCATGTGCAGGGACATGCATCATAACTTAGAATATTGAACAAAAATATTATTAAAAACGATATTTTTATCTGCGCTTATTCGAAAGTTATTTAATAAAATATAAGTATAAAAAAGAATTAGCCAAAGACGAGGTAATAACATTGGATATGTTTTATAATAATGGATAAATTTAATGTTTCAAATGCATTAAAAAATCGAGTAATCTCCAAGAGATTATTTTATTACACTCGCAAATTTTTAATGTATTTAAATTTATCTGTTATTATAAAACGTCCAGTGTTATTAGCTCATTTTTGGCCAATTCTTTTTATTTATATTTCATTAAATAACTTTCGAATAAGCTTAAATAAAAATATGCGTTTTTAATAATATTTTTATTCACTAATAGTACTGGATGTTTTAATAAAATAATAAATAAATTTAATGTTTTAAATGCATTAAAAATTCGCGAGTGTAATAAAATAATCTTTTAGAGTAATACTCTAAGAAATTGTTTTATTACACTCGCGAATTTTTAATGTATTTTAAAACGTGTATTTCAATTTATTTTATTATTATTAAATTATTATTATAAAACTTCCAGTGTTATCAGCTCATCTTTGGCCGATACTTTTTGATGTCTTTCACTTTTTTTCATATTGTATTTCAATAACAAGCAGGCCATTATTTTTTTAATTATTTAATTAAGTTTGTTAACAGACAAGGCCAAGATAGACGTAGATAAACGTAGAAAAATACGCAAAAAGGATAAGGAATTGCGTTATTTATTATAAAATGATTTTTTTCTAAATACAGTTTCCGCGGAAAAGATTTTCATGTTGATAGCAGCGCAATTCTATTATGTTCTTTTACATAATCGAACGAGAAATTTTCTTGAAGATTCTCGCTTTCCCTTCTTAATACCACGGCCGTTTATTTATAATCTATAATATAGGTCACGCCAGTCAACCGGCTCAACGATAACTCATCAGAGATCACGTGAAACTCTTCGGGGCGGTGTCTTACCGGCTGGGAGGAAATCAGAGGCGTATGAATGGGCTGCCTGGTGGTGTGGGTGCCGTTGGTGACGTAAAGCCTCGGTGTCAGTAAGCCCCTGAGATTCTGCGTACAGGTCTGAGAATCCCGGCGTTCCGGCGAGCAGGAAGCGGAAGCGGTACCCTCGCTGTCGGAGCTCGCGCTACTGGGCGGCGTCGGCGGCAATCCCTGCCTCGACGCGTGCAAGGTCGCTTCCTTCCCCACGCAGACCACGCCGTACTCCTCAATCTCCATATTCTGTAAGCGAGTGACAACGGCGATGACGACAACAAATTAAATCGGTATATTCAAATAACAGCGCGTTAGTTTGAATCTCGTTAATTTTTATTTGCTCATAATCAGTCAAATGAGTCCAAGGGTATGTTCTTTTTTTTTATCCTTTTTTTAGCTGAATTAGTGTACTTCTTTTGTTTATGTTCTTTTTTTATCCTTTTTTTAGCTGAATTAGTGTACTCTTTTTTTCATTACTTGTTTCTAGAGTGAAGTACATGTTTGACATTTGGCAAAAGCGAGAAGGAAAGTTTTTATTGCTGCAGTTCAGTGCAGAGCAATAAAAAACAAACCTTATATACACGGAAAGAACGATTTTGCTGAAAGATTTGAAATTTACAAAATTCAATATAACCTTAGATGATATAAATCAATAAATGTGAATGAAGCCAGTATAAGCCGACACAAGAACGAAAGTGTGTTTCAAATAAAATATATATTAATCAATAGACACAATTTAAAGCGCAAGCGTTTCGACTCTTGTCGATCATCCTTAGTACAATAAGAATTAAAACCGATAACATTATCCAGTAGTGCGTTGTGAGAGTCAAATCGTGAAATCGATGAAATTAGTCAAACTGTTATCTTATCCATAATTAAAATAAAAAAATCGCTTTTTAAGCTGTGTTTGGAAAAACTCTTGAGCAGTGAAGTCAAAGCTAAATGATTATTAATTAATTATATATATATACAATATATATATATAATAAATATTATTATATATATTAATAAGAACAAAAGTTAAAAGTTAAAAAATTAAGAAATTAAAATACAGTTAAAAGCTGTATGACTTGACAGATTTGAATGTAATTACCATGTATACGATTCGAGACGTAGTGAACTCGTGAGAATCAGCGAGACATTAACATTTATATTTTCATAAGATATAATCAGAAATAAATAAATAAATAAATAAGAAGGCCTAGAAATATCAAGCTCCTTATTTATTTATATATATTTGAATATTTCTGGAGCAGTAGAAATGGTTAAAATAGATGGTAGGTAGATAATTCAATGACAGATAAAATCTATTGTCGAAATATTTTATTGTTCTTTTCCGCGAACAATGTGTGTGTGTGTGTGTGTGTGTGTGTGTGTGTGTGTGTGTGTGTGTGCGTGTGTGTGTAACGCAATATTGATTTAAGCTGAGATACCTGATGATAGTACTCCTCGTCATCCTCCTCGCTGTCACTCGTGTGCGAGAGATGGGTTTTGGTGGCGAAGTGAAGGCTCTGCGGCGACACCATTGTTATCGTGCTCTTATCGTCCACCATATCGCAATTCGGCTGACAGGGCGCGCAGGGACTCGCCGGCGCGCTGATAGGCTCGCCCTTGATCCCAGGACACTCGTTATCTTCAGGTACTAAGTCTCTCTTGAGGATTATACTCGAGGTAGATGACGACGTCAGCGACGGCGACGACGACGATTCGACGCGGTTCGAAGTGTTGCTTATCGAAATGGCCGGAAAACATTCCTCTTCCATATCTGTAAAACGACAGAGATTATATATTTCAGAGAAAACTCCTCTTTTACACAGCTGTCCTCCAGGGATAAGTTTTGAAAAAAAAAAAAAAAAAAAAAATGATAAAGAACTCGGATGTCGATAAAGTTATCTGTTTTCCTTTTTTTTTTGTTTGTTTGTTGGAAGGACAAAGGCCGCGGGACGCGCGTCGTTTTTCTTACCGTCCATCCTGTCGCGGATATCGAGAGACTTGTGGTCCAGGTTTGCGAAATCGATGGAGGAACTGGTGATCACGGTGGTGGAGCCGACCGCGCCGGAACCCGAATTGGGCGTATGGGGATTTATGGCCCCGGGCGTCGCCGGGCTCGGCGGCGGGCTGGGCGCCAGAAGGCTGTAGCTGTGCTCGGATTTTATCGGCCGCGGTCCACCGAGTGCCGCGTCCGTCATCAGGCGGTCTCGCAAAATCACATTGTGCCTGAAGCTCAAGGCGTTGCCCCATTCCTCCTCTTTGGTGCACAGCAAGATATCCTGACCGAGCATCTGCAATCAGTAAGATGTCCTGATTGAGCGAGTATTCGTTGAACGTGATAATATCCCTTTATCCAGAAGCTTATAGAGGTTTTAGGGATTAAAATATAAACAATGTACTCTTATTTAAAATTTATATAGAAATATTATTTAGCACCAAGATGTAACTTTGACTGTATTTGGCGCTTCTATACTTATTTGTGTTATAATTAAAAGTATTGCTATAATGGAAAAATGTAACATCTCACGCAAGACGATAATAGTAAAAAAGTGAAAAATTTTAAATTACGTATGCAAATAAACTAATTAATTATTATTATCCTATTAGATTCTTTGGGAATAAATATCAATTTTTTCTTTGATCAAACGATCGCAGTCCAGAATATTCTTGGAACAAATCGTTAAACTTAGCTCTGCTTAAAAGATCCGATAGATAATGATAGAAATTTAAGGATAAGAAATTTAAATAATTTAAATTTAGAGATTTAAATTTTATTGAAATTTTATCTAATTTTATAGTAAAGTTATATATCGTTTCTATCGGACTCATTTGAGCTACTATAGATAAGTTATCTATTTCTATCGTTTCTTAATAATATATCTTACTTAAACATTAAATACACTTAAATAAAAATTTGGACGTGTATGTTTTTTTATATAATCTATCGAGTTAAGAGATAATCCAAACTGAAAATTATGATTTGTTACATATTTTATCGTATTTGTAAGAAATATTAAAATTATTTATATGCAAAAGACACAAAATCTCTAAAATTAAAATATTACGTAATAAATCATACATAAACTGACAACATTGTACGATAATATCAATTTTGACTAAATACGGTCAAAGATAAACATACGGAAAGAACAATTTTGCTGGATCCAGATTTGAAAATAATTTTTGTTCAATAATCAAAATAATTTTGTTGAAAAGTCACAATAATTGCTAGAATATCAAAACGTTTTATAGCAATGCTTATAATTTTTAATTTTTTAACCAATTATTTTGATGATTAAACAAGAATTATTTTCAGATCTGTATTTAGCAAAATTTTTAGAACTTTCAACAAAATCGTTCTTTCCGTGCATTACTCAAAGTGACCCTTAAATTATCTACTAGAGTAAAAAAAAAACAAATCTGATATTTACGAGCCAAAAACACGATAGAATTGTATAAGTTTCTTCTTATCTAATTCTACCTTTAAACAGGTAGAAGTACATTTTACTTGTCTTAACTGATGGAACGATAATAAATATACGAAAGAATTTATGTCTTATATTTGACACAGACAATATCAGTCTATGTCAAGTATTGTTATCGAGACTTATTTGATTCTCAAAGTCTGACGATTTGTCGGTCAGCGAGCGAGTCGCGAGAGGAACGAGTCGGAGCAGAAATCGATCCTCCACGTGAAATTGCTACCGCGAACGTAACGCGAAGCGAGTCAATGGACGTTACGGGAGGGGCAGCGTCCGCGCGGGCGGCGGTTGTCAATGGTTGCCGCCCGTCATCGTCGTTGTCGTCGTCGTCGTCGTCGTCTCGCGGCGAGGTGTCAAGGACCCCGCCGCGTGCTTCTAAAATTATACGCGAGAGCGTTCCGCGAACGGTCACGTCACGTAATAAGCGAAGGAGAAGGGCGCGCAAGTTGAGGGGCGGTCAAGTTGAAGGTCGGCCGTTACCCGAGTCCACGAGGAGGTGGTGTGCCTCGTCGAGAGGTAGGCACACCGATTTCGCCTCCTTCTGTGGGGACCTCTTCTGCGGAGACGTGCCCTACCCTATGCTCACCCGGGGGCGACCCAGCAATGCGGAACCCGCCGGTCCCGTGCAAGGTCAAGACGAGGAATCCTTTCGTATTCGCGCGCTAACGACACGCTACTTGCGCTACCAGTTGCTATTCGAAGCTTCTCGCTTCGCTGCCTCGTCTCGCAGCACACAGTTGCTATATACGCACGCGGTTTTTCCTTTAGCCGCGCGCGCGCGTGGACTTCCCCGTTATGCACGGTTTGCTCCGCGTAAGCAAATCCGGCCGCGGAATGATATTCCGAACGACGGGATTTAAGCGACAAAGTCGCGCGCTCGATTATTTACCGAAAGATTATTTACTGACGTAAGAAGCGTGGGATACGATTCGAAGCAAAATTTCTGATGCCGCATTCCACTGCAGCTGATCGTTAACGAGCTTTCTTCTTTTTCTAAATTAATTTAGAAGCAATAACTTTGAGCGATTGTGAACGTCTCACAGACGAGAAATTGCGTTTTATTTCCAACAATTGTTTCCATTCGTCCCTTTCGTTTTGCCTTTGTCTCATCAGTTTTTCGCTATTCTCTCTCTCTCTCTCTCTCTCTCTCTCTCTCTCTCTCTCTTCGTTATGCACCGTGCAGGTCCCCCTAATTTAGATGGGAATGTAGCAATTTCCCGCAAGTGGGTAATTAGTTACAATGGAACCATTAGTAACCAACAACCCGGAACTCGAACCTCCGACGAGTCGTCTTTGCTTTCCCTCTATACCATTCTCTCCTGTTTCGCCACTGCATAAATTTTTCTCGCGAAGGTTTATCATTACCGACGGCCAACATATGCTGCATCTATTATAATTCGAGTCGCGCTGCACCAGTAGGTAACAATTAAAAAAAAAACAATCCGGGAAATTTTACGATTCGAAGAAGGATCTCTCTTTCTCGTTTTATTCGAGCGAAATGAAAAATGTCGTTAAAAATTAATGGCCGTTCTCTCGGTCGAGTTGAGATTCAAAGACTCATCTGACGATCCATTATTGTTGAATCGCCGAAGTATCTCGCGCCCGTAAAAGGCGGCCGCTCCATAAAAATATCCACCGGCTGCAGCAATGCGGAACTCGATTCGCAAGGTCACGACATACCACTCTTCCTTTTCCCGTTCTCCCCCCCCCCTCTTCCACCCGGCCGTTCCACCCCTCCAGCGAGCGTTCCGCTCCTTCTCTTCGTCCTTTTGCCCTTCGTCGCGCTCCCCGTTATGCTCCGGTCGCGCGTGGCCAGCACTTATCTCCCATCCTTCCATACGTCTGACTTCCGGCGGAAGCACGTCCGTGAATGGGGCGATCCTTCTCTCTGCCTTGTCTTTTTGGGCGATACGACGGAGGATACACGTGCATCCCTTTTCCCGATCTCGCGTCGGTGTCACGCGGCCCATCCACGCGGCTTTAAATACACACGGCTTATCGTTTATTTCGCTATCGTCCATTATCGCTCGATTTTCCGTGTACGTTCTTTCGCAACTTTTATATATATATATATATATATATATATATATATATACATAAATGTATATATATGTATACTAGCGATCGCGCGTGTGAATTTGTGTGAATCAGCGTAATAAATTTCTTCGTATATAAGTTAACATATGCGATTTTCCTGGTACGTATAATAACGCTTTTCAGCGATTTTCTTCGGATAATAAAAAAAACCTACGACCTTTTCAACATTCGTACTATTTTTACCGCGCAATTCTGCTGTGAGTAGATTTATCGATGCTGTTTGTTTGCCGGATTCGCACAATAATCGTAAATCTATACACTAATCTCGGGGAAATTGCTTGATTCTCGGTTCATTAAAAAAATTCAATTTCTAGAATAAAGTTCTTGATCTTTGTTGTAATTTAGTTTCATGAATCAAAATATAATAAAAAATGAAATATCTTTTGAACGTTAATTCAATTCTTTTTTTGCGAACAAAGTTACCAACTTTATGTCAAAAAAATTTGTGATTGATTAATTTTTGACGAGGACTTGCGTAATTCTGACCTACCAAGTAATTAATTTCTAAAATAAATATAAAATTGATTCCTTTTTTTGTTAACTTATTTTTATAAATCACAAAATCGTAAAAAATGAATTATCCATCGAACATTTAATTCAATTTCTCGCGAATAAAGTTAACAACTTCATATCAAAGAATTTGTGATTGATTAGTTTTTAACGGCGCTGTTGGCTTACGTATAAACAAGTTTTACACTGAGAGAAACAAAATGGCTGCAATCACCATAATTTAACTATGTATAGTAATTTTCGGCGCCAACTATATATATATTTGTCTGGTAAAACTAACAAATATAACTGTTATTACTTAAAATTATGGGAGTAATGAGTATAAAAATGAGATTCATAACTATAATTACTGTGCAATTACAGTTGCAAATACCAAACACCTTTCTCGCTCAATGTATGTATAATGCAACGCAGATCGGAAGAATCGTCGCTAATAAATTAAGTACATAATTGTCGTCGGCTTATCGTTCTATTACCGCGCGTATCCTCCCGCAGTAGCGCGGTGCAGCTGCATGCTTCACGATATTTCCGCTGCGGAGACCAGAGAAAGAGTCCGGTGAGGGCCCGGCCGGCGCGGGGCGCGGCGCCTCGTGTGCGTCTCTCCGGCGGGGTAGGAAATATTCCGATTGAATTTCTCCGCCGCAAAATTGCAACGTAGCGAATTGGTATTAACTAACTGCGGTATGCAACACGGGAAGTGGATCGAGCGCGCGAGGGGGAGAGGCAGGGCGGGATGGTGAAGGGGGAAGGGGTGGGCACAACAATTTTCGCGACGAGGCATTATTTCGCTATATACCGCGGCGGCATCGTTATTTTCGCCGCAGAGCTCGCGGTCCCGCGAGAAATCGACAATGGCATAACCGCCGCGCGATCGCGCGGCGCGCTTCGATCGCTCATTTTCCTCCTCCCCCCCTTCTCTGTTATATTGCGCGGCGCGTTATTACGAGAGCGCCATTAATTGAGATACGGCGACTAATTGATTGAGGTGAGATTAAGGGGCGTGTTTCGTTTTACCTTTGTTTTTTTTCTTTTTGCGCTTTCTGTACTTCAAATCGGACGCGTATCAACGTATTCCTACATAGCTCGCGGGAGAAGCGAAAAGCATATATACTCTTTCTCGTCTCGCAATCTCGGGTGTATGAATTAATAATTTGAGGTCTCGAATTCTCTGCGCGTTCGACGCCGCATCGCCGTCGACCTTT